TCTCTGAGTTTATTACTGATAAATTGGAAGGTTTTAATTTTTTTGCTTTCCATTTAACAATCTCTTCATTGGAATCTTTCATAGGTAAATACTCTTTTCTTTTACAAAAATGCAAAAATTAGTTGCTTGGTTTCCCATTTTGACCCACCCACCGAAAAAAAAACATGTAGAGTGGGTCAACAACTACATATTCAAACAAAACTATCATTCAAATGGAGTAAAATTATCACGTTCAACACGAACATACTGATCTACTGCGAAAATTAAAGTTAATCTTGATCATTCTCGTGGATATACATTAAAAAATCACAGTTGCTATATGTTGAATTTGTACCAGATGAAAACATTTCACTCACTAGAAGCTGACTGTGACTCTTCCTCCGGCAGCTCCTCGACGTCAACACCTTCTCCTTCCCTAAAATTTCAACATGACGATGTTTTCGTTCCGCTTGTTCCTTGGAGTTAACCAATACAAAATAAAAGCCAGTCTATGTCTTCACGTGCATCTGTTGTATAGTTAAGGGGAGTAAAACGCAGAACTGTGAGAACGTTTGATGAGGCAGCTTTCACGTTCAAATCAATAACAATGTCAACATGCAGAGGTGAGACCCTGAAAACCATGATTCCGAAGAGCGATGGCCAACGTCGGGGCTGAACCAGGACGAATCACAAGAGATATGATTTAACGAGTGTCTTATGATAATTCGCCATTTTGAAAACCGCGAGGGGCTTTGGGACAAAAATAACCATCAGCTGCGGTACACTTCATGATACATACACAACCTCTTAAAGGGGACCATTCATTATGGCGGAAAGAAACGCGGTATTGTCTTAATTTTATCACATTTTGTAAAAAGGAGCAAGTATATTTCTCGGCGCTGACATTCATTCTTCCATCGCTCTTTCTTTTGTTACAATGAGCATATCAGCATTTCCCAGAGAGTCGTAATCATGTGGATATTTTTGTATTTAATTTTTTCAACTCGCATCGATCTATTTTCGATATTCTTTATTTTTTTAGGAAGTTAAAAGCGACGAGGAGGATCCCCCAGCTACTGCTGGTCGTGCAAGAAGAAGAAAGAGGGTCCTTTGTTTTTGTACATTTTGTGTTTCACGTGTGGGAGCATGATTTTCTTGTTCAGCTTGTAAGCTGTTGCATGTGAGATTTTCATTTTCTATTTTCTTTCAGGTGGCGTTTGAGACAGACTCAAACAAGCGCAACCAGATGGATAGACGGTACATGAAGTCTATGCAAACAAAAGTATTTCAGTTTTTTCTTTTTTTGATTTGATATTTGTGTTTTTATATTTATTTATTTGAATTTCCCAATGTCATTTGATAAGACTCTAAATAAAAAATTGTTTTTAAGCTTATGATATCGGGGTTGAAATTGTTTGTGTCTACATCCCTAACAGTGCAGTACTTCAGGATTTTTTTTTATTCTAAACTAGCCCTACCTTCCTTCCTTCCTTCCTGTCTGTCTGTCTGCCTGGCTTTCTTCCTCTATTTTTGCTTTACTTCTCTCTTTTTGCTTTTAACTGCTAGAATGATATGCATGCAGCAAAGGCCAGTTCTGGATTGCAACACGTTTAATACGTTGACAGTCTAAAGCACTGATTTATGTTATTTATAGCCCACAGTATATTTTAAGTCTTGGAAGATATGGGACATTTTTCTGATTTCCCATTCACTTCTCTATAAGTAATAGTTATTTTAACTAGTTAAATTCATTAAATTCTGAGTGCATTTTAACATCATTTTGTTTTGCATCTGTTATAAGTACTCACCTTTCTGCTTCCAGATTTTGATTTACAGTACAATACAGTTTGAATGTTTATTTCCTATAGTGCAAAAAGTTCAAGCTCAAGAAATGGCAGCTGATGATGACATACCACCAGAAGACCCTGTGCAATTTAGAGTGGTAGATCTGAGGAAAATGGTTGTTAGGGAAGTCAAAAAAGATGATAAAGAAATTTAAGAAAGCAAACTGGATAAACATTTTTTACAAATGCAAACAGTTTTGGGGGTGATGTACTTAAAAGGCTATGCAATTTGTCTACTCTAATCATACAACCCACAATTTTGTTTCTTTAAAGTGCTAAATTGAATAGTAGATTTGTGGAATTTACATGGTGTATTTTCATGTAGGGAGATCTGAGCCTGGATGGGGGAAAGAAGCATGCTGACCTGTTTGGTGGCCTGAAGAAGTTGAGTTCACAGATGTAAATAAAAGCAGTAAGTGACCACATCTGGATGATTTAATTTCAATTATGCATTCATACAGAAATTGGAATCAACAACAGCACCCTCAAGAGGTTGACATCACAGTAGATGATTCTGCTCATAGTCCTGTGATTCCCATTCCTGTATCATCAGCACCAGCTTCTACTTTTATTTCAGTTCCTCCCTCATCTGCCCCTGAAGTTTTTGCAAGCCCCATTTGCCCTCCTGCTCCTTGATCAACACCTGCTGTCACCACTTCCATTTCTGATCCTCCCTTAGCAACTCGTGAAGGTCATGTTCAACCTTCTCTTGTATTTGAGGACATTGTAAAGAGGAAATTTTGGAGTGAATCAGTTTACTATGGTAATACGTGGCAATCTGTACTGCAAACCTGCAATGAACTGAATCAGATCCAAACATCAAAGGTGCAGAGTATTCTAGGAAAACTGAAAGAAGTCGTAAGTTTCCTGTTATTAATTGAACTCCTTTTTGTACAATACTTTTTTGTGCATGTATGTGTGGCAAACAAACATACTATTTCATTTATTTATTTCACAATTTAATCTAGGATGCAAGTATTTTGTTTTGAATTTACCATTCCTGAACATTCTCTATGTCATTTCATCAGCTGCCAGCTTAAGTTTTAATACCAGTTGTTTAGCTAGAAACTTGGTAAGGGGGCTATGTCCAAGCAGTTTGGTCCTACTAACTCCAAAAGGTGGATATTGTTTGTTTAAGGGTCCACTAATGCCAGGCCAATTCCAGCTCTTTAGTGTGATGTTCAAAAAGTTTTTTTTTCAACTTGATGATTTGGGTTGGGGCATTTAATGAGGAATCCATCATGAGGCAAACATTCATGAGAGTTATTAGCAGCCTTTGACTATTAATATTAATTTCATTTTGTTTACCAATTTGTGATCTACCTATTAATGCAAGGTGTTTTTTCCTTTCCTAGACTGAAATTCATACAATCATAAAGCCCCAAATTGCAAGGGACATTTTAGGATGCATGGTCAGATTGCCTTGGGAGGTGAACTTAAGTTTATCTCCCCACAGCCTGGAACATTTCCCGAAGATGTCTCCACGTCATTGTATCAGCAGCAAGAATCAGCACAGACTTCCTGAGCAGTAAAAGGTACAGTAAAAGTTATTGACTTGGAATGATTATCATCATCTTTATTATTGTTACTATGATAATAATTATTTTCATTTAAAAATTTTATTTTATTGGTTGTTATTAACTTCAAATTCTATTGCCTTTAGAGATTTTCCAGCTATGTTGACCAGTCCATTTATGAGCTTGGTCTGGAGCCATTCTACTCAAGTGGGGATGGAAACTGCTTTTATAATTCACTATCCATACTCATGTCTGGACATGAAAGTGACGGTGAATTTTTTAGACTGGGTGCAACAATGTATGGTCTTGCTCACTATAACCACATTGTTGATGCAGTAAGAACAATCAGTTATTTTTTGTTATGTTTGCTAAGCTTATTAGTGTACAATTTTAATGTCCTTGTTTCATGTTTTAAGTGAACTTTAACAGAGGTCAACCTCTGGATCTCTTTTTCAAAGCAGAGACTGAGGCATAATAAATCAATCTTAAATTAATCTTTAAAAATTAATTTATTAGTTCTTTCTTTAGGAGCTTGTTTATGTGGTTGCTTGCTATACAGAAATATTTTAATCTGGCTGTTAGAGAAATTTGCTACTTTGATATTCTTGGATTACTTAGCAAGCAATTTATAAGGTTGTGACTTTTTTCTTTATCCTCTAAACACTAACTGCCATTCATGTCAATTCATTTCTTTTCATCAACTTCATTTGTTTCCTTGACTGCTTGCAAAACCTAAAATCCTTTGATCCCTTTTGATAATTACACAATGATTTCTAGTGCACACGGTTTTCAATCATATTTGACAACTGTCCAATAAACTGTATCTGTAGTAGATGGATAGATATCTTTATTAAAAATCCCATGGCAGCCTAATAAGGCTGAATTGCATGATTATTTACAATACAATACTGGCTAAAATTGTAGGAATAGTAGTCATCTCAGTGTCATGTTAACTGTTCCTGTAGTTACTTATAACCCTCTCTTTAGAAGTAACTAAACTGCATTTTGAAAAACTATATTCCATTTGCAATATAACTTTAAAAGGAGTTACTTTGTGCTTCTGTCATATTTCTTTTTTACAGAATGTGTGGCATTTTAGTGATAGAGGCGATGCTTTGCAGCAGGCAGCTAGTGTGAGCCTTTCACCAAACGAGGTTCAGGAAATTAAAGACAAATCCATTCAGGAAATTGTTGCAAAAAGTGTCCAAAGCCAAGTCTTTAATGCCCTAAAGAATTTTACTGATATTTGTAACTAACTTGAGACTTGTTCGTTTTAAGGACTGGCTCACATTCTTTTGAATCAATTCCACATCTTCATCATCTTATTACAACCAGTTATCAGCTCGTTTCTCCAGGCAAGTTGGCATTACAATACTGACATCCGCAGTTTTTTTTTTAGAACTCTTGCAGGTAACCTCTGCTGCCGGCTTTTTGAAGAAACCAATACAACAGCACTGTGAACTGTCTGGGGCTGTATGGTACCACACAAAACAAAGTCCTCCTTGTTGCTTCCAGCCAGACCGGGAAGAGGCGCCTTTTCACATCATCTGGCTGCCACTTACAGGACAAGGAAACACCTTGAACCATATATGCTCCCTTCTGCCATGGAAGTGTGTTGCATTAGATGCTGTCTTGTGCGTGTTTTGGCGAGGATATAACACCCAACATTCAAGTCGCAATGAGATGGTGCAGTGCCTTACCTGCTTTGAGTGGTACCACTGCGTTTGTTTGGGCATTTCTCTCGAAGAGGCCAACGAATTCCACGATGGTGGATTGTGGCTGCACGTTGCCCCACCCATATCGGAGCCACGACATGTGAGTGTACAGTGGAATCCCTACTTTTCGAACCTCCTGATAACTCGAACCCTTGAAATGCTGTTTCCCTTCTCTCAGTCGAAAACTGTAACTTTACCACGATTCCTAAAGCTACCTTATTATTTGAACAAAGTTTTGTTTATGTTGAATGTGGGAAAAAATCTTGATTCCACAGTACTTTCTCTGCTGCTTTTTTGTTTTGGCTCGTTTATAATGTTTTTAAACATAGCGTACTGTTCATTTTATCTATTATATTTTGTAGATCGGTGTACTCAAACCAAGGTAGCATTCTGCGGTTTCTAACGAAGGCGTATTTGAAGGTTTGTACGTTAAAGATACACTTATTATAAGGATTTTATCAAATCTAACTTACGGGTTAAAGTTTACATTGCTTCGTTTCCTTTTCAGACATCAACAACAGAACTCCTAATTAACAAAAGTATACATTAAGGCTAGCATTGAACACCGAACATCGTCTTTTGTCGCACCGAGACTTGGTGAGGTTGGTAACAACTGGACCCTTCGGAGGACACGCGGTAATTTCATTTGTAGATTTAAAAATATCTAAACAAAAAGAATTTCGATACTTAGAATCGCTTGTAGGACATCGACGATTACTGATTGTGTACAGGAACAGGTTGCTTTGCGACGTAATTTTGTTTTTTCATTGTTCTTTAAAAGATGATTGTTTAAATGCCATTATTCCGCATAACGCAAAAATAACATGCTCGCAAGGCCTTAGTTTAGTTTAGTTTCGCGATTTTCGGCTCTCATGGTACACAACATGCAAGAAGTTTAAAACTAACAAAAAAGTAAAGCGACCTTTGCTTTTTTTATCTAGTGCCTATTGACATTATGATCCCTTCGTTTTCAAACAAACAGGCCGAGCGTATGACAGCAGTTGCAATGCCAATCATTGCTTCACTTACGAAAGACCTTTCCCTACTGACCCGGCTCTTTATGGATGTGATGCTACCAGAAGTATTGTATTTGAAATTGTTTCTAGAACGGCACGGCTTATGGTTTAGTATCTGAAGACTTATCATATTTTAATCTTTCAATTATATACCGCGACTTTTCCAGCTTAAAAAAGGGAGTTTTTGATGACAAGCCTTATCCGTGACGGTCACCTCCAAACTTGCCCAGTGTTTTACATGTAACTTTTTGGGTTAACAGGTTTTCGGTATGCTATATTTCCAAAGGGTGTACACTGCAAACCGTTTCTTATTTAGGAAGTTATTTTTAAACCACAACTGTCTAAAAAGTTCTTGCTTTTTCTTCTTATCTTTCAGAGCGTAATCAAGTTCATCATGGAAAAAGAGGATCTCAATTATTTTAGAGCTTCAATTTTCTTTCAAAATAGTCTTGTTTCGGCAGCAACTTCATAGATAGTTTTAGGCTCACTTTGCCAAACATAATTGTCGGTTTTATTACATCATCATGACACACCACATATCAAATTGGGGTCAGCAATACATTGGCGAAAGTTTTGATCCAGGTGCTTCAGGAAATTGAATCCAGTCCGCTCTTAACTTCGCGTATTTTATCGTGTATTTTCTTATGTTTGATACAAATAGTGCGGTGGTTTAGTTATATATTGAAAACCCTTAATACCAGGAATAAATTTCAAGAAAATAATACAGTTGTTGGTGGTTATACGTCTTAAGTTATTTAAAATGAAATAATTATTAGGTGCTATGCCAGGTCACTTCTCTAAACCAACGAGAAAAATTCCTCATCTTCAAACTTCCGATACGATGTACCTCTTCTATGCAGCCTTGAGGAAATGTAAAATGGTTTCCGTGTTTACATAGCCTGATGTAAAACACGCGGGAGGTTGGGAGAACACGAGATAAGCGTAGGAAACTACGACGCGAAGTTTACATCAGGCTATGTAAACACGGAAACCATTTTACATTTCTTTTATAAAATAACTAATGAAAGAGGAACGAAAACCGTGTTTACATACGCTCATGTAAAATGGTTTTATGGCCAATCAGAGCGCGCGTACTATTTGAATTATTTTATAATGTTTCCTTAATGCGGTAAATCTATCCATCATAAGCATTTGTACCAAAACTGGAAGGGTATTTAAACGAAACCGCAACACAATAAAGGCCCAATTCATTTGATAGATATGTTTAAATTACTCGGAATAAACCGGAATAATGACGTTACGCAAACGAAACAGTCGAAACTTTGTCCGACTTAAAAAAATCATTTATATTGTAATGAACAGCCTTGTAGTCAGTCAAGTGTTACTAATCATGATCAAGATAAGAAAGGGAAACAAAAGGAAAGAAACTATTTTCTATCATTTAGTCTTGTTAATATATATATTTAAGCAAGCCTAAAAGCGGAACTCCACAGTTATGTATTGTTTACTGCACTTAAGAATATTTTTTTTCCATTCTGGTAAATAAGCGGCTAAAATATTAAAAGTACAGTTTATAGCGGATCAACGGTGTTGAATTAAAATCGCCTACGGTTAAACTAAATACTTTCATGACACAGCAAAATCTGCACCTCAAATGATCTTGAGACGCAATGAGATAAATTCCTGGTAAAATAGAATGAACTCAAGATGTCCAAAATTAGCTCACGGCCACAACAATAAACAAAACACGGGAAAATCAAAGCAAAACATAGAGTAGAAACCATTCTTGAAACTATAAGAAATCAAATCATTTCTACGCGGCGCGAGAAAATGCCGAAATGTGAAAATAAACAAAAACAAGAGAACAATTACTTTATGAGATGAAGCCTCAAATCCCCAACTAACGGTCGCCAAATGAAACAAATTTAAAAGAAACTTCAAAATGATTAATTTTCATTCAAGATGCAAACAAGAAAGGTATTGAAAAGGGCGGAGATGTTCGAAATAAAACAAGACAGGCCGTTTTGCATTGGCCGGCCTGTTCAAATTAATTTAAATACACACTGTATTACCAGGCTAATAACCAAAGATAAATAGGTACTAAAAGAAACTTAAACAAAAGTCAATTTTCATTCAAGATAAAGCCTGAAATCTACCGACAAACTAGAGACAATTCGTTACCCTGCGGCCGCCGATCTGTTCAAATTAGTCGAATTAATTATTCATCCGCTAAGGCGAAAGATCTGATTTTCAACCAACGGCTTCGGCAGGCACTTGACGCTAAAACTAGCTAAAACTGTAAAACCACCAGAAACTGTTTTATTTTAATCACCGCGTTCTTTTCTATTACTCATTCTCGTTATTAACGGTTTCAGTTAATTAAAATTGTATAACCTCAAAAAACTGTTTTATTTTAGTGTAGATACTAAAGAGCAACAGTTACGTTCATTCTAAGCTCATCTGAGTGTGTTTGCAGTCGTTAACGAGCGAAAACCGTTTGGTTGTGGCCACTATGACTTTTGTTTTGTTTTTTCTTTCTTTCTTTCTTTTATTCATCCGCTTACCCTAACTTCCCAATCTTCGGCAATGCCGCATTACTGCTTGACGAGCTTAATGTGTAATCAGACAATGCCTACCTGTTTACTGGCTATTCGATATAATAAAAAAGCAATCCACTGGCATGGAAATCGACGCAATTATTGGCAAAGTTGAGCTATAAACTTGACAGTTTAAATGATTTTAAACTTTTGAGATCACCCTCATTTTATAATAGCGGAGAGCGCGTGTGATGTCACAAATAATACCTGACCACACAAACAAATTGAAATTTTCCTCGAATGTTTTACAACCTACATTTTTTTTGGTCAAATCGCTGTCAATCGAGGCGCTCAACTCACAATGTTTGTCTGAGTCATGGAGATACTTTTAGACATGGCGCGCAGCAGTATTGGCAAACCCTACAAATCCAGAATCGGGTATATTCTTGATACTATTTTAGACAAGGCAAATAACACTCAAAAAGAAGTTGATATTGAGGACATTGAGTCAAAGTTTCTAGAAATCAAATGCAACTATTTTTCTAGAATTTTCACATAAGGACTTAGTTTTTAGTAACATCTCATGATTTTTGTTCTTTATAAAGAGAAGTTCTTCAAATTTGGCGATAAAACTTATCGCAAATTACATTGCTACACCTTGGGACTCGAGCTGCTTACGCCGTAGCGAATTTCGATACCAAATGAATATTTTACAATGAGTCATGAAGTTCTTTTCGTTCGTGTATGACAAGGATCCTTTGAGAGACTTCAAGCATGAATTGGCTTGTTCTGCTGCCTGACTGTTTAAGGTGTCCCACCGAGGATAACGAGAGAGGTTGTAAGCATCAGAGCAACCTGAAAAAAAAACAAAAACATGTTCGATTGCTTTGCATTGGTACTGACAAAGTTAAGATTAAAACATTACTTCGAATGTGCTTCAATAAATGTGTGTAATGTGCCATTAGATTGGTAGGAGGGGATAGACCCGAGAGCATAGCTAAATGAACACCGAAGATGAAAGACGGCCAAACCGATTTACGTACCTGTATGAAAAATTGTAATGAACCTACATTTATTATGACTCGTTTAATATAAAATCACTCTGACAGAGGAAATCAAAAGAAAAAAAAAAACTCCCAAAAAACCAGGCCCTGGTTGTTCAACGGGTGAAAAAAGGTGTCCACAGAATGAATCTCTATTAACCTTTAAGTGTTGTGATAACATACAGCGCTATCCAGTGGATAGTGATTTTTCCGCTGGATAGCGTTATCCATCCTTTAAACTGGGCCAAGGTAATAAAAAGAAATTTTCTTCACGCACAACGGCATCCAATCAAAGGCCACAACATACTCATGCACATTAAATTGAGCTTACCTTGTGGGAAACGCATTCGAAACACTGTAAATGGGATGTTAGAAGATTCGTTGCAAAGCATAACACTAAATCCATAAGTTATACCTAAAATGGAAATCAAAAGAGAAGATATAAAATCGTTTTACACATAATCACAGCAACACTGCGTACACTGAGTGCCTGAAAGAATGTTGTGTAAGAACATGTAATAAAGGCTGAAGAGAGGGTGTAACTGGGGTACATCACTAGTCAATAGAAATCAACAACCTTTATTTATACAAGTCGTTATGCCATTTAGCCAATAAATTGTAAGAAAAACTTCGATTTAGTCAGTAAACAGCAAAAAACAAAACAAAACAAAATAGGCAAGTCAGTTAATTTGTGCGATTCTTTGACTTGACAACTGCAGATGTTATGCTTCTGAAAACTAAGCGTTACAAACAGTTTCGGTCTTTCAAGAAAATACCGGACATTTGTTGAAAAAAACCTAAACCTGATAACTAAAACCACAGGCAGAGCGTAAACCCGGAGCTTGTCAGGATAATCTGGAATAAACAAAGGGTAACAATAACTAGTTGGGGTCAGAGTGAACTGAAATTTACATTTTTTATATCAGAAGTAACGTTGTTCGTCGTAGAAATTATTACAAATATTAATACAAACTCATAACATTATTGTACCGTGTTTACAGTGCACTAAGAAAACTCCAGGAAGTAAGGATGGGTGTCGAGTACTCCTCTTTGCGCAGATGTTTGGAGTTGTGTCATCTAGGCAATAGTCACCACGACTTCTTACCACAGGCAGGCAAGGATAGTATCTACATCGTATGTGCGGTGTACATCCAGTTGCACAGCATCTGGTATTGATCCATTTCTGCTGAACGGAGACTTTCCTTTTTCCAACAGGTCAGTAATAAATGCAGTCAAGGTCTCAAGAGGTAATTAAGTGTTAACAAAACTTGTCCTTTCATTCATAACGTAGAGAAAATATCGGGACCCAAAAGATTCATTAAGATCATTGATCACTTTACGTGAACCTCCGCCAATGTTATTTACTGCATAACTTGCACTTATTGCAATAAGTTATACATCGGCGAAACAGGAAGACGACTGGGTGATCGATTCCGAGAACACCTTCGCGATGTGGAAAGAAATGACAAGGACGCATCCAAACCAGTCGCTAGACACTTTAATCTTCCTAATCATTCTAAACAGCATATGGCAGTTTGCGGCCTTTCCTTACATCTAGGCAGTTCGGAAAGCCGTAAAACACTAGAACAAAAATTTATATTCCAAATCGGCACCCTTAATCCCCACGGAATCAACGAGCGCTTTTCATTCAACTAATTTATTCCTGTTTTCTCGTCACCATATTCCCACCAATGGCGTAGCTACACTTTCTGCATATAAATCCACACACGACCCACAATTCCTCTAATCGCTCTGACGAAGGGCTAACGCTCGAAACGTCAGCTTTTTTACCCTTTACGGTAGCTAATTTACGTTTTCAAACCAGTTGTTAACACTTAATTACCTGCTATACTCTCCCACCAACGCAGCACCACAGTTTCTTTAGAAACTTACCCCTTTATTCAAGGTCTCAAGAAGCTGATCTCCCTCGACAATGCTAACTATGTTAAACAGGAGGAGAAAAGTTTGCTGGAGTAGAAGCATGTCTTCAGGACACTGCTCGACTGGTCCGTTGCCGATGAGTCTGCGGTAAAATGTTTCCAAGGAGTCCAATTGGGGGAGAAGTGCACACACCGGGGAAGCTTTTCCTAATGCATTGAAAAGTCCAGTGATGGGTGTTGGAAAAGAGACATCAGATCTACAGAACGAAATGTTCCAGGAAAGAAAACTACCCAAGGCAGGTGCACAACGCTGCAACTCCAGCTGTAAAGAGGTCATTACTGTGTAATGTAACCTTGCTAACATCACGGTCTACTTGATCCACCATCTGCCTCACATGTTTTTCAGCAAGGTAAACCCTGTCACGATGCCTAGTGATGTCATAAAATATTAATTAGTTAGCCTAAATGCAGATCTCTACAAATAAGGCAAATAAAAACAGGCGATATTTAGACACATTCAAAGTCTATCCCAGTGGAATGTAGAAGGAACTGGAGCTGGTCTTAGTCTGGTCTCAACCCCTCACCTGATCCAGAAAGAAGACCTCATTCCAAGGTCTTTGCAGGGTAAATGAGACACACAAGCTTCACCACCACGACAAGGTGCCAGCCCAAGGTGAAGGATTAAAAATATTTAAAATTATTATATTAATCGGTAATCAAACTGAATCAAGTCATAGTCTTCGCATTGACAGATTAATATATTATATCATGCTCACATTCTAAAATAGAACTCCTTGAATCATAATGGGAACCAAAATAATAAGATAAATGATGCATAAAATATTTTTAAAAAAAAACATAAGCATAAATAGCAACTTATCTTCCTGTTTCTCGTGGTTCAGTGGATGGACTCTGTGATGAATAAGTAGACTTCAGAGAAGTACAAAGCTCTTGTCTGAAGGATAGTGCTTTAGCATCACAAATGACAAAGTGCAGACTGTTATCTTTGCCACAGATGGCACAACAAAAACCTTCTTCATACTTTATGTCAAGAAGGTTCAGGAAACTGTACCAAGCAAAACACCAGTGGTGGTATGATAACAACCTCTTGAAGTCCAATACATCTGCATCAGCCATGATCTCTTGCCAGAAATTGAAGTATGTAAATAAAGTGCACCTAAAAAAAGAGAACATAATTTAAATATAGCTTTTTGAAAGACAATTAAATGACATACATGTACAATTTTATATCATTCTTAATACAATGATTTTCAGTTAATGTCACAGGCAAAACTTCAGAGATACAACAAATCAGAACCCTCAGCTAATAATTTGTTGATTATTTGTTTTTTTCTGGTACCTGATTTTCATCGTAAACCATCATGTGCAGACAAATGAGTCTTAGATTGTTTAGTATAATTGTTGTCAATTATAATTGTTGTTATAAGTGCATCTGCTGGGTGTGTCCCAGAAACATTTAAATTTATTGAACTCAGTACATACTTGATATTCAGATGTCATAATCATGTCATTTTCAAATCCATTGTAACCTTTTAGGTGGTATGTGATTACTTGGAAAAATTTCAACATAATGTAATTTTCATAATGCCATTCTCAACACAACATCAAAGAAATGTGCAATAAGTGTGAAGGCCTGTAAGACTTCAACTTTTAAACTGCAACAGAGAATTAATTTATGATACAGAATAAGTTACATGTACCTCCCCTTGAGAAAATGAAACATGAAATCCCTCAAGACATGATAAGAAATAAAGTAGGAAGCCATGTTTAACAAAGTAAGCTCTGAGCCATCAAACTCCACTTTTCCATCACAGATTTCCTCAACACAAGTATAATATAACACTGAAATGAAACATACAGAAATCATTATTTGCTTATTATAAAAATTTAATGATAAGATGATGTAAAATCACTCATACATGACGTGTTAGTAGCCACAGGCATGAACCTTTTCATATTGTACTCAGAACATTTATGCTTGGATAATATATAAATTTAAGTTATATTATGATTGTAAACAGGGAGCAGACAAGTAGTTTGATCCACGCACAACAATTGGAAGGTGAATGTTGTTATTTTTGGTGAAAATAAAGCGGTTAGGGTTAACCCTAAGCATCACCACTTCACCTACAAATTTAAAAGCTCTAGTTTTAGAATTTAAAACAAAAGATTGCGAATGAAAAGTTGGTAATAATTATGCCACAAAGAAGAGAACATTTCTGATTTCTGGTTGCCATCCATGGCTGAAAAATATCTGTGCTAGAGCTACACAAAAACCTTGTGTTGGTTTTTAGCAGTCCATCTGTATTCACCTTGAGCTGAGGCAAAATAATAACAATAATTTACTTGGCTCACCGTCAGCTGAGGGTTTTCCTCCTGATGGATGCCTGTCGACAGCTATCATCCAATCAATTGGTTTGACATCTGAATGAAATTTTCACATTACCTGGACAACCTTCCCTGTATGGTTTTCATTTTTCACTCATTTCTATCCCATTCATGATAGTGAACACTACTTGAACACTTTATGAGATAAAATAATTAATGCAAGGAATTTCTTACCTTCACATTGTCATGTCTGCTTTTTGAAAAAGCACAAAGCTTGTGTAGTCTGACTAATGCACTGCAATGAACACTTTGGGCAGGAGGGAGACAAGTTGGAAGTAAGCAGCACCAAATCAGTAGTTGACATTTTGCCACAAAGAACATCTTCCAGAGAGAATACTTTTTTTGTGTTGTTGATAGATGGAATAGTATTTTTTTTACAAGATACTGATCTTATTTTCCACTCTTTATGAGTGGTGGCTGCTGCAACTGATTCAGTAGACTCTTGAAAATTTCTCTCAGCAAAAAAATCGACCAGAAAATCATGCATTTTGTGTCCCATTATTTCCTCAGATTCTGCTACTTTTGTTACATGTCCACAGTTGTGACGCTGGTGATCACAGATAAAGCAAGTGATAAGTGCAACTTGGAGGCCAACTACTCCATGCTGTTTATTTCCACATACAAAAATTGTAAAATTATTCCCATTCAAAGGCAACAAGTCATGATGTTCCTCCTGAGATAGAAAAACAGCAAGAACAACAAGTAAGTGGACTGTGGAAATGCTACAATCATTTCAGATAGTCTTCACTTAAATAACAGATACAAATGGAAAAATATGATGTTTACAGCTACTTACAGCAACTTACAGCAAATAATGCACTTGTCATTTCTCCAAGAATATAATAACCTAAGATTCACAAATAGCTCTACTTTGAAGGGGACCTAGCTGTTTAAATACACAAATTATGTTTTAACATAATTTAACTTAAAACAAAATCATTAGGATGAGTGAAAAATAACCAGAAAATGTTGACAAAAGCAAGATTAATGTTAGTAATAATTCCAAAATTTTAACGTTCGAAAGCAAAAAAATTCATTCATCTTACTTGGTAAGTGTGATCATGAGAATATGTGTCTCTGGCAAGTGAAGGGGCCCTGTCAAAGCTTTCCATCAACTTTTCAGTGGCTTCAATATGGATGCAATTCTCATAAACAGAACTAGCTGCAGTTAAACCTGTGAGAAACATGTAATAAACAATACTTATTATTACATATAATTTATTACTCAATTTAATACTGAAATGCAAAGAAGAAAATTATGGCACAGGGGCCTGGGACATAGTCAAAGACACAGGGGTCAGATTCAAAACAAAATAGCTAAATGAAGACAGCTTATAATCCTGTTACTAGTAGTTGGGGCCTTTCATTTCACAACTCAGGTTGTTAGAATTCAATAGAAAAAACATTTGACTAGCACATGAGGGTGCTTAAAGGAGGCTGGAGAAATAATTGGTAACAATAAAAAAGAGAAGCTGTAAGAAAGAGGATGGGAACTGCAGTTGCCTCCTAATGTATAAGCAGAAATAAACGGCACTTAATGAATGTACACATGAGATACAGTTATTGTCTACATTTCAACCGTGACTTGAATGAACAATTTTATTGGAGCATTTTTATAAATTATTTATCTCAGTTTATATGCTTGTACTTACTATCTCCTGTGACTGTTGATGACAGTGACTGCAAATAATCTGTTACCTTGTGCCTTCAACACATTTGCAATGATAGATCCAAATGTTATCCCTGGGTTCTCTTTCAACAATCACATATTTGGCTTCCTGATGGTAGAGGATAAAAAATATGTACGGTAAATGATTGATTTTGTTTGGTATAAGCACAAGTACCACATTATATGTAGTTATGAGTGACCTACATAGCTACTGTGCTGACCAATAAAAAAACCAGATATTTTTGATGCACCCCAAGGGTACAAACCACAAACAATTTGTGCCAAGTCACAGAATGTCTAACCTCATTGTACATGTACAGGATGCACTAGAAACTACATTACAGAGAACCCAAAATATAAATAAATATTAAACATCAGTTATAAAATATTAAACAAAATCAAAAATAATTATGGATACCAAAGGTGTGCAATTAGGATATTCTATATTGTATGTATACAGTGATGTATTAATACTACCAAGGTTTGAGTCTTGTTTAGGAGGAAAGGTCTACTTTACTACGTGAAATTTACACTCCTATGTATGGTAAGGGATCTGTTTTTAACTAAAAAATGCATGTAAAATCCTCATTGGAAAAGAGGAGGTGTTAATTATATAAGCTTTAGCCCAATATAAAAGAAAATAATGAGGAATAAAACATTATGATTCATCACAACTCATGAAAAAAACAGTTTCCTATATATCTGTGAAAAAAAAACAGTCTGTCGAATGAGAAATATCTTGGTTACTACAGACATCAGTTTTTCTAAACTTTTTTTAAACATCCCAACTTCCCATGACTCAAAATAAAATTTCATGACTTCTTTCCTGATCTTTTCCTGACATGTGGCACACCCGAATATAATTTATAGAGTACATGCTGGAAGAACTTAAGCTTAAAATGACTGTAAAGAGACAGAATCGAAAATATTTTTAATAGATGCAAAATTAAGACTTACCAGCGCAGCATGTAAAATTGGTCTAGGTTGCAACGACTGATGAGAAGGATTTTCGAAATCATCTTGATCAGTCGAGGTGATGACCGTAGTACTCAAATCAGATGTCTTCTTTGATCCCCTACGTCTAATCTTCTTTGGCAAAAACTGCGAAAAATTGCACCGGCCTCTTCTTTTATTCCTCTCGCTTAATTCATTTTCGTGAACGGCGGGAAATATTCGAAAAGGTGGTGTGCTGTTATTCATCCGCCATTTTGTGCAATGCGGCTACTTTTATGTGTATGTAACACGAAGTGTACCAACAACTGGCGGTTATTTTCGTGGTCACGAGAAGGATTTACAAGAGCAGAACCTGTGTTAAGTACACTCGACACCATAACGTAGCGCACGTGCGTACGGCCTTCTTAGCTATTACGCACAGGCAGGAGCCCTGACACAGGCTAATAGGCACCAAAACATACAGATCTTTGTAGCAAAATCGCTGTTGAATCGTACACGATAAAAAAATGCCTTTCCTTAAGGCAAAAAAAAAGGCTGTACATGCATGTATTATATATTTGAATATTTCTTTATAAGCGTGACGCTTATAAATAAAGCTCTGAAAATTGCATACCCAAATTACCTTTCGGTCTAACTATCTCAATTAAATTATATTATATATATTTGTGTTATTTTTTTTTTTAGCCTTCATGGACCGTTTGAAGCGTCTTTTTACAAATTTACTCTTGGCCGGAGACGGTTTATGTTTGATATTACAAGACCATGAATACGATGGTCACGTAGTCAAAGCTGTAGATGAAAACTTTTTACACCCAAACATTACTATGTATATTCTCCCAACTGTTCTACATACATGTCCTAAGGTGCTGACAAGGAGAATTTTGTTCAACAATCAAGAGCTGCATAAGTTGGTGATCATTTCCTTTATTCTTGAGACCTAAATGTGTGATTAACGAATGATATTGTAAGGAGAAATTAGATTCTGGTCACTCTTAGGGGTTAAAGAGTTAAGGGAATCTTAGCGTCCATGAGTTTGGGGATTCCCCTTATTTCTTTTGGAAACATGCCTTCCAAACATTTATTACCATGATCCATTGTCATTTTGTTGTCTGCCAGTCTGACTTGCAAGGCAAAGAGCTTGGCTCAGGTTTTTTTCAGCATCATTTTCTTCTCTATTTTTGTGAAGAAGCCAATTCAATCCCACAGAAACCAAAAATAAAAATGTGTGAGGATGTAGTTGACATAAAATAAGTATTTTAGGGTGAAAGAAGATGGCAAGTAGAACGAAACACCAAAACTCTTTGTTCCTTTTTCTTTCACTTGATTTCTCCCCCTGACTCAGTCCCTGCCTTGCAGTTGTGTTCTCAGGAGTTGTGTCATTAGCTCTTGCAGGCTGCCAATATGGACAGAAAAATAGAAGTGAAATGAACCTTCATTGCCCTGTAACTGCCTGTATTACCACCAATAGGCCACGAGAATATGATCACGATAACAGGGTGCTTGTATTAATGAATAGAGTCACCTAAGGTTGTGGTATGTATACTGATTGTAAGTTTTACTCTGTTAATTAACACCATGAAAAGTTCAGTATAACTATATAAAACTTGTCTTGCATATGTAGCCACAGTCAAATGGACAGAACTCAGATAATTCCTTATGACTGAAAGACGTCACAAGACAGAGATATGGTAAGGGAATTTCATATTGTACCCATTCCACTGGTCACGTGGGTTAAAATTAGAATCTATAGAAAACAACTCCTATGGAATCTAACAACTTGTTATTGGTTCTAATAAAAAGGTAGGCTGATTGACATTGGTTTCAAAACTAACCAAAAGACCAGGTCAACCCCTTAAGTCCCACTAGTGACCAAGACAGAATTTCTCCTTACACTATCAATGCAATATCAAGCAGACGAGTAAAGAGAATAAAGAAAATATCAATGAGGGGATTATTAGTTGATCCAATTCCAAATTCTCCAAACTAACATTATATGAATTGTATGGCAGACAGTAAGGAGAATTACTAATGAGATCTTGAGAGTTAAAGGGTTAAATAAAACTGACTGTGACATTTATTGGGTGGTGTGACATGGTTTTACTCAATAAAGAAATTGTCTTGCTTAGCCAGGACTTCCCACTGTTTCTAAGTAACCAGAATAAAGAGAAAAGTGCTTTGTCCTGATGGTAAAGCACCTTGCCCAGGTTGTTGAAAGGCTGAATGGCGCTATCCACTGAATAAATCTTTATCTGATGGATAACACTATTCGCTTTGTAAAACCTATCTACTGGATAGGGATTTTTACTTTTTTCTTAGAAGGCACAGAAAGGAATCCTGCAATCTGATTGGTTCTTAGTACAGTCCATATTTTCCTATCTCTGCCCACAGGCAACGGTAACGCTTTCATAAGTCACCGAGTACATCCCTACACCAGTGACTAAATACAGGAATGGCTCAAACCTGTAATTGGATGATAAAAATAGTAAAAGTTAATAAGTTATATCTTAACTCCATGCTCGTGAGTATTGTTTACCCGTGTGTCTCGAAGCGGAACAATGAAATATCAATGCAAGTGAAAACACCAATGTATCAAACAAGAAATGGTTACTAACATAACGAAGGGATTGCAGAGCCTTTCTTGTCCAATGAGGTAGTTTAGCGTTACTCTGCCGATGACGGAGTTATTCACTGACTAGCTCCGCTGACTAAGCTCATTTAGCCAGTTCAGGCGGACGATCAGAGACTGGAGCCATTCCTGTATTTCACCGCCGACAGGAATAGCTCCTACTCATGCGTTCATTATTTTATTTATTTCATTTTTTATTATTTTTTGCCATTCGTTTTGGCTAAATAATTTATACACTGAGATAAAAACTGAAAAAGTGTTTTACTACGTTCTTCCTATATTGAACTCTCCAATGCTTTTAAATGAAGCCCTCTCATTAATGCAGGGCCATGTACTTCTTCAGTAATATTTATTACATGATCAGTACGACCCCCCCCCCCCCGGGCGCTTTTATCAAGACAATTATAAGAAAATCCCCGTGTAAGGGTCTGTGAGATGCGAAAGTAGAGAGAAAAAGACAGTGTGACAATCATATAATAAAATTCCTAATGATTGAGTAAGGTCGTGAACAGATGTTTGAATGTGGGTAGCTTCTTGAAGACAACCCTAGTCAGTTCCCACGCCCAGAAAATAGCTCCATGGATCCTGACTACCGGGAAGCATCTAGTGATACTGCATACCACAACAGCGCCAACGAGATAAACCTCTACGAGACTGTCTTAATAAAGGAATTGTGGGCGAGAATGGGGAAAGTACCATAGACAGGACAAAACAATCCTTCAAGGCGAAATTGCTCAGAATGATCGATGATGTCGAAGTCTGTGAAGATGAAGATGCGCTGCAACAGTTAAAGAAAAGTGTCAATTCCTCTTATAGTTTGTTCACTTCGATGGTGCTGCACAAGCATACGACAAGTACACTGTCGGCTGCTATACCTAAAGGGAATGCACCTGAATCAAAAAATTGAGGTCCAGAAACATTTCTTTTCCACCAAACGAAAGACACAGAAGAGAACTGTCAGGTTGGAAAAACCAACCAAGGAACAGAAGATGGAGATGATTGAGAATTGGAAGAATAATGAGCAATCAGAGCAGAACAACAGCAAAGTAGCTGTCGATTTCACATCCGGAAAAACGATGGCACACAAGGTTTGTTGTGCTTCATTGTTTGAAATTTTTTCTTCCTTGCCTATCACGCCTGTCTCACCTCACCATCTTTTTATTTCTCTGGTAGGGTTGCAAGAAATACTTCCCTGGTTTACTAAGGAAAAACATTACTCCATTGAAGACCTGGTTAAATCTGCCATTAAACTGTCTGTTTCTGACGTATTGGATACAAACGAGGCATCTTTGATACCCGGAGAGGCAGTAGAAGCTAACTTAGCAGATTTGAAGAGGTTTATTACAGATGGTGCCTGGAAAGCAGTTTGCAAATTAGGTTAGGATGGCTCGTGTACCTTACAGGAAACGTGGTCTATGTTACAGTACACTAATTCTTTCTTAAATTTACGTGGTATAAATACCTTGTCTAGAACAGTAGTAATATAATAGCAAACGAGATGTATACGTTCCAAAACAGCGTCATGTGATGAACAGTCTTCATTAGTTTTGAACAAGTTTCCTAAAATCATTTTACTCTTTCTGGTTTTAGCCGAAAACTGTCCGAAGACTGATTGTGCCATCACTAGGAAAAAAAAGAATTAAAAGCACCAGTCGGAGCCATTCCTGTCAACTATGAAATGTAGGGATAGCTCCAGTCTCTGATCGTCCACCTAAACTGACTAAATGAGTTTAGTCAGCGCAGTTAGTCAGCAGATGACTTAGTCATCGCCGGAATATCGTTGGAAGACCCCGCTGAATGAGAAAGAAAGGCTCTGCCTTCCTTTCGTTATGTAAGTAAACATTTCTTGTTTGACACATCGGTGTTTTCACTCGCATTGTTATTTCATTGTTCCGCTTCGAGACACATGGGTAAACAATATTCACGAGCAAGGAGTTAAGACATAACTTATTAACTTTTACTATTTTGATCATCCAATTACATGTCGGAGCCATTCCTGTATTTGGTCGCTAGTCATCCCTACCTTCGCAGCCATTTTTCATAAAAATATCTTGTTTTTCCGGCTGGGCAGTATTTTTAAGCAAAGACGTTGGTCACTACCTCAAGCCGATAAATAACTTATTGATCCTCTCTTTTCTCTCTCTCAAATCACTTTGGTGAACAGAAAAATATTGGTTTCGAAATGAATTCGTATGAGAAAAAGTGTCATTAAATTGGTTGACAAGCGGCCTAAAACCCGCCTGTAAATAATTTGAATCCTTCACAGAAAGTACCTACAAAGTTAAAACGTGAGGAATTTGGTTACAATTGAATTAATCGATGGAACTTTCATTGATTTAATATCTGAATTCTCTCACAATTTCTTCGTAGTTAAAAGGCGAGCGAAGTTTTAAGTTCTACTACAAAGACCCTTTTGCTGAGTCTTTCCAAGTCCGTTCAGTTTAGAAATTTGGGAATTCAACAAGAAAAAGCCGCATTAATTCCCCTTGTGCCTAATTGAAGTGTCCCATTCGAATATGGTTTTTGTGGAGAAAAGACCAGATTTACACATGCCAATGCAGTAAACAAACGAGCAAACTCTCACAACTTCAAAATCAAATATTTGAATTTACTTACAGTTACTTTCCTTGCCATTTACTTACTGAACGGAGGTAAATCTTCGTGTTAGTTTCGAAACACTTAGTTAATTACACCTTATTATAGCTTTGTTCTGGTTCATTTCTAAGTCTTTCGTTAGTTAATGATTATTACAGTAAGTTTGTTATCTCCGATCAAATTTCCACTTAAGTGCACGTGTAAAGATTCTATTTCAATCGTCGCTTTTAATCATCGCTGCTAAATCATCACTGCTAGATCGTCACTGCTATATAATGGCTACAAGCTATTTGCTACCGTTTGCTACAAGCTATTTACTGCCGCTAGGAGCTAGACCAAAGTAAGTTTTAATTTATTTTACATTTACGTTATTTACCTTTTGTATGTATTATTGGTATAGTTTTCGTATTCTGTTTTCCGTGCAATCGCTTCATTTCTAGTCAGGTTAATGTTACATTTAGCAACGCATTTTTCTTAGTTTCTGTTGTAATTTCCTTTAGTTCGAACCACACGCACGCAACCTCAACCGCTACTCTCATCAAGCAAATTTCGTCTTAGCGCTAGCATCCAAAAACAATAAAGATCACTGTGTGCGTTCGAATTGTCCGCTCGATGTTTTGGGTTACCTTTTGAGGTTACATTCGTTCGAGTTTGGCAAATCTCCAGTTATTCTTACATCTACCACGTTTGGTTCGAGTTTTTTAAGCGAAGTTATTGAAGAAATAGCCATTTGTTGCATCAAACCTTCGACCCCGCTTTCACGTGTGGAAATTCACGACGTGACATACGGCAAGATATGTAACAAACGATCAAGTCCTCAGGAAATCGATTTAAAACATGTCGAAGGAAAGCGAAGTCGAATAAATAAATCTACGTATTGGAGAACGAAATCACACCCTCGATTGGGACGGACTCGACTCAGAAAGTTTTGATAGATTAAAGAGAACTAGAGGCGCAAAGTAAGGGCTTATACTATTTTGCGAAACGAAACGAAACGAAACGAAACGAAATCGGGTCAGATGAAATAAAACAAAAGAAATAATGCAGATATATTTTCTAATAAGATAAAGATAACTTTCGCAAGGATTTTGGAGTAATCGTTCATTAACAAGAAGGATTTTTATTCGTTTCGTAAAATAGTAATTTTAGGAGAGTTACTATTTTGCGAAATGGGCTATTTTCAGGAAGCAAGAATCTTTCAAGAGTTGAAACATCCAAACATTGTGAAGTTCAAGGGAATCTGCAACAATCCCTTCGCCCTTATTCTCGAGTTCCCGCCCGCCGAGTGTAAATAATCCATTTCGCAAAATAAACATTTTTCGGAATTACTACATTCAATTAGTTTAGAAATTACTACATTAAAGAGGAGGTGACCAAGATCTTTGAGAATATACTATAATGTAATATTTAAATGTATTTTCGTGACATGAAAGAGGTCACGCAAAATAGTAACTCTCCTAAAATTACTATTTTGCGAAATATATTTTAATACGGTTTAAGAAATGAGAGGAGGCCAAAATGTTCGGTGATATACTAATTTGTAATGTTTAAATGTATTTTCGTGACGTGAAGAGGTCACGTTGTCACCGCAGGGTGAAAATAGTCCATTTCGCAAAATAGTAACTCTCCTAAAATTACTATTTTGCGAAATACATTTTAATACGGTTTAAGAAATAAGAAGAGGCCAAAATCTTCGTTGATATACTAATTTTTAATGTTTAAATGTATTTTTATGACATAAAAGAGGTCACGTTATCACCGCAGGGTGAAAATAGTCCATTTCGCAAAATAGCAACTCTCCTAAAATTACTATTTTGCGAAATACATTTTAATACGGTTTAAGAAATAAGAGGAGGCCAAAATCTTCGGTGATATACTAATTTGTAATGTTTAAATGTATTTTTGTGACATGGAAGAGGTCACGCTGTCACCGCAGGGTGAAAAATTCCATTTCGCAAAATAGTAACGCTCCTAAAATTACTATTTTGCGAAATGAATAAAAATCCTTCTTGTTAATGAACGATTACTCAAAATTCCTTGTGAAAGTTTTCTTTACCTTGTTAGAAAATATATCTGCATTATTCCTTTAGTTTTGTTCTATCTCACCTGATTTCGTTTCGTTTCGTTTCGTTTCGTTTCGCAAAATAGTATAAGCCCAAAGTAAGGTATCGTTACGAAAGCGCAAAATGAAATATGCGAACTTATGTTAGATTTCGGAAACATTGAACCAGTCAAAAGAAAGGTGCAGATTCTGCAAGAATTCGAGGGCGCCTACGCCGCTTATCACGAGCAGCTAAAAAAAAAGATCGCGATATCGATGAGTCGAACGCTTACTTTGTCGAAGTAAAGCGTGGAATAGAGGATATCTCAGGAGATGTAACTGGGTAGTGTCATCGGAACACGTCAAGGACTTCGGTAGATTATTATCGCCAGCACGTGTCATTACGGCGGGGCCGGATACCGAGATAAATCCCGACGATTCAGCGAGTAATAATGTACCTTCTCGAGTGTCCTACCTCATGGGGCTCCAAAATCTCTCGTTGTTGCATGTCAAGTTCGGCGGCGAGCTCTCGCGCCTCTTCAGCATCAGCTGCAAAAAAAAAAAGGCCAATCTACGAAGCTATGAGGCAATTCAGAAGGAGGAGCTAGCACCACAACTTATGAAGAAAGCTCTCGAGCTACAAACAGAAATCGCAAAGGCACAAGCAGAAGAACTCGTTTACGGCGCAGCTGAAGCGTCTTATGTCAAAAATTCTGCCTCGATTTTCAGACAGGAAGATAAATCAGTGGCACTCCCACCACCTCAAGAATTCACCGCAAAACAGCAGCCAATGCCGAATGAGCTACCTTTAGTTCAACGAGAATCTCGACCTCAGCATGACCAAGAGGAACCAAAAGCAGAACGCGTAGAGAGAGAAGCTCTGAATCCTAACGCGAAGAGCTGGGTCCCTTTCCACGATGGAGAAATTGATCGTAAGCCACGCTTGAAATCGTTCGAAAATGACAGCAACCATGCGTCTGCAGCCGGATTAGCACTACTGCCTGTTAAGGTTAAAGCCGGCACCAGGTCTCGACAAGATCGTGGAAACCTACACACTTTTGGATCATGGTTCCAATACTTCTTTCTGTTTAGAGGGACTCATTGAAGAGCTTGGCATTAATGGACGAGCAACAATATTGTCACTGACAACCATGGAAAGCAAAAACACTAGCATCAAATGCTCAGCAGTTGACCTTGAAGTGATGGATCTCAAAGAAGAAACTCTTGTCGAATTGCCACACGTGTTCACCAGACCACATCTACCCGCCACAGTAGAGAATGCCGCTAACCAAGGGGATGTAGATCGTTGGCCGCACCTTACTGGAATAAAAATCTCCAAAATCGACGCGAACGTGGGTTTGCTTATTAGGAATGACGCCCCAAAAATTCTTCACCCGAAAGAAGTGAGGGAATCCTCTCACAATGGTCCCTATGCGACCTGGACGGTATTCGGTTGGGTGATAAATGGTCCTCTCGGTAGAGTTCAAGACTCGGGCTCGTACATAGCTAATTTTATAAGAGCAGACGCCGAACTAGACGACCAGTTCCGAAAGTACTGCAACATGGAGTTCAACGACTCTGTTTGTGGTGCAAAAACTTCGTTGTCACAGAATGACAAACGCGCTCTAGAAATAATGTAAGATACTGCTGCTTTGCAAGACGGCCACTACACAATCGCCTTGCCGTGGAAGAACGACCCACCCTGTCTTAAGAACAATAGAAGCCTTGCTGAACACAGGCTCAAATTGTTGAAGAAGCGTCTGTTGAAGGATTCAGATTTGCGCGTAAAGTACGCAGCCTGCATAGAAGGCCTCCCTCAGAAAGTATATGCAAAGAAGGCCCCACCTCTCGGTATTCCAGGAGGAACTTGGTACCTTCCCCATCGTGCTGTTTTCCACCCAGCCAAGCCAGGAAAGATTCGCATCGTTTTCGACTGTTCCATTTAACATCGTGGAAGTTCTTTGAATGACAAGTTCTTACAGGGGCCGGACCTCACGAACTCCCTGGTTGGAGTGCTGACTCGTTTCCGACAGGAGGCTGTAGGTCTCGTGGCAGATGTCGAGGCCATGTTCCGTCAAGTCAGTGTGGTTCCTGAAGACCGTAAGGCCTTACGATTCCTTTGGTGGCCAAATGGAGAGCTAGGAGCTCAAGCAGAAGAACTGATGATGATGATAGTGCATCTATTCGGCGGAGTCTCATCTCCTAGCTGTGCCAATTTTGCATTCAAGAAAGCGGTAGAAGATAATCCATCGAGCTTTCGTCCTGAGACCATACGAACAGTAAAGTGTAATTTCTACGTAGAGGACTGTCTGAAATCTGTGGCAACGGATGAAAGCGCTATCTGTTTTGCGAGGGAACTTAGGGAGCTTCTTTCGAAAGGTGGCTTCCGTCTCACGAAATGGCTGTCTCACTCTCATAAAGTGGTTGAGTCAATTCTAGGGGCTGAAAGAGCAACAGCAGTGAAGAACCTAGATTTCGACCATCCCATCATTGAAAGAGCTCTTGGAGTACGATGGAAAGTGAGTTCGGATACTTTCAGCTTCAACATCAACATTAGGGATAGGCCGGCTACTAGGAGAGGACTGTTGTCCGTTATCAGCTCAGTCTACGACCAGCTTGGATTCGTTGCTCCTTTCATCCTCACGCCTAAGGTGATCCTTCAAGATCTCTGCAAAAAGAAGCTCGATTGGAATGACCGTATACCGGACGAAGATTTGAGACATTCGCAAACATGGTTATGCGAGCTACCAAAACTGGAGCACTTTTATATAGAACGATGCTTCAAACCTCGCGACTTTGGTGAAGTGACTTCTTGCCAGCTCCACTTCTTCTCTGACGCATCACAACTGGCTTACGGTGCTGTCGCCTATCTACGATTGGTTCACGACCGTGATTATAAACGGGCGTCCCTCGACTAAAGTATCAGACAACCCCAGAGATCCAGAAGCTTTGACCCCAAACCACCTCCTACTCCTGCATTCAGGACCTACCCTCTCCCCGGGTGTCTTCGCTAAAGAGGACCGCTATTCTCGACAAAGATGGAGACACGTGCAATACCTGGCTGACGTGTTCTGGCGACGGTGGATTCAATAATACCTCCCCTCGCTCCAGCAAAGGCAGAAATGGAATCATACTACCCGCAATTTTGCAGTTGGCGACGTCGTACTATTGTTGGATGAAAAAACACCGAGAAGTTCCTAGCCGCTTGGGCGTATCTTGGAAGCTTTTCCAAATCAGAGTGATGGCCAGGTGAAGAGTGTTTCTTGTGCGTCCCATCGACAAAATTTTGTTGTTGGAAGCTGCCTGAGCAGTGATCTTGTGAACAGCATCTTAAGAGAACTTTCATTTTATTGACATTTAGTTTTTAGTCCGAAGCGTTTCAACCTTGTTTTATCTTTTTAGTTAAAGGCAATCAGTTGTATCGCCTTTAAAGGGGCTGGAGTGTCAGTTTCGAAACGCTTATTTAATATACACTTTATTATAGTTTTGTTCTGGTTCATTTTAAGTCTTTCGTTAGTTAATGATTATTACAGCAAGTTTGTTGTCTCTGATCAAATTTCCACTTAAGTGCACGTGTAAAGATGCTATTTCAATCGTCGCTTGTAGTCATCGCTGCTAAATCATCACTGCTAAATCGTCGCTGCTAGATAATCGCTACAAGTTATTTGCTACCTTTCGCTGCAAGCTATTTACTATCGTTAGGAGCTAGACCAAAGTAAGTTTTAATTTCTTTTACATTTACGTTGTTCACCTTTTGTATGTATTATTGGTATAATTTTGGTTTTCTGTTTTCCGTGCAATCGCTTCATTTTTAGTTAGGTCAATGTTACATTTCGCAACGCATTTTTCTTAGATTAGTTTCTGTTGTATTTTCTCTTAGTTCGAACCACACGCACGCAACCTCAACCGCTACTCTCATCAAGCAAATTTCGTCTTAGCGCTATCATCTAAAAACAATAAAGATCACTGTGTGCGTTCGAATTGTCCGCTCGTTCTCTTAGGTAACCTTTCGAGGTTACACTTCGTACATTATTTAATCGTCGTATAGAGTGAATAATACTTTCCGTCTGCTTTTAAAGAAAACAATGTCGCGACAGTCGTTGCCAAACTATAATAAAGGGGTAAGTTTCTGAAGAAACTGTGGTGCTGCGTCGGTGGGAGAGTATAGCAGGTAATTTAGTGTTAACAACTGAGTTGAAAACGTAAATTAGCCACCGTAAAGGGTAAAAAAGGTGACCTTTCGAGCGTCAGCTCTTCGTCAGAGCGATTGGCGCTAATTTACGTTTTCAACTCAGTTGTTAAGACTCAATTACCGTTGCTAAACTAGTTCCTTTGTTTTTTCAAAAGTGTACCTGCGTTTTTCTTTCTTACGCGCTCTCTAATTGGCAGGTGTCACAGTGCGACAGATACTTATAAAAATAATGTTTCGAGGTTGTTGAAAGCCTTTTAAATCACCTTTATCAGTCCGCAAATGAAAACGTGTCGATGAAGCCTCTTTCTTTAATTTGCATCACCTCTATTTTAACTACCATTTACTTGCTAAAAATTATTCAGTTTATGGTAGATCTTGCTGTAATCACAGCCCTAATTCATTCGGGTTCTTTAGGAAAGAATTTCGTTAAGTTTAAGGAAAAAATTTAAAATGTTATTCACCAGCCTAGGTCGGTCCGTATTAGGAAAAACTGTGCCCTCTGTCTTGAGTACTGCGCTCAGCCTACAGCCTCTGGCGGTACTCAAGACCTCGGGCACAGCTTTTCCTAATACAGACCTCCCGGCTGGCGAATAACATCAAAATCCATTCGATAGCGTTATTCACCCTTTGAACGAGTGGGCCCTTATCTCTGACATTCCTCCATGTACCTTACCCTACCTTGAGAGGGGGTCGTCTTTCACCACCTTCACCAGGCCTGCCCCAGGCCTGCCCCAAAAAGGCCAAATGGGAATCCAGGAGGACTCTGCCAGTACAACTGGTGTTTACAGTTTGAATATCCAGCTCCAAGACCTACACCAACTCCTAATGTGACAGGCCATGCAACCCCTTCATATTAAAGTAAAAAATATTAGAGGAAGCTACAATTATGTGGAAACATCCAAACAAATATACTCATTGTGGTAAAAGCAGTGATAAGCTGGTGTGAACAAAAACAACCCTATCAATGGATTTCAAACCTTTCATCCTAATAAGGCATTTTTCTCTTGTTTACAGGGAATATTCCAGTGTCCAAGAGGTAACTTTACCTTCCAATCCAATTTTTCTCTTGTTTACAGGGAATATTCCAGTGTCCAAGAGGTAACTTTACCTTCCAATCCAATTTTTCTCTTGTTTACAGCGAATATTCCAGTGTCCAAGAGGCAACTTTACCTTCCAATCCCTTCCATGGTACCCATAAATGAGAGTTAGTTTCATTCAAGCTATAATGAATAACACTTTAGATAAACTTTTTACTTTTTGTAGAGATGCTAAGGGTGTAAAAGAGCCATGGGTATTTAAATCCTTTTAACCCTATAACTCTCATGAGCGACCAAGACAGAATTTCTCCTTACAATATCAATACAATATCGAGCAGAAGAGTGATGGGAATAAAGAATAGTATCAACTGGAGGATCGTTACTTGATCCAATACCAAATTCTCCAAAATCATATTACAATAATTGTATGGCAGACAGTAAGGAGAATTGCTAATGAGATCTTGGGAGTGAAGAGTTAATAGTTATGATTTCATGTCAGGAAACACTTGATCTTAAAAACTGTTGGTGTATTGCTACTTTATATTGGTCACCTTTGTACCTCTTGTTCATTAGATAAATTTATGTAAGTCAAATCAAAATATGGAATCTGGTAACCAAAGGAATTTCATTGAAATATCCAAAACACCGCACCCTAAATAGGGGACCCTCTCCTCCCCCCTAGAAGATCTCCAAGCTAGACCCCTATTCCCGCGAAGTATTTGTTGGACTATCAAAATATCTGCGTTACGAAGTTGAGCAGATATTTGTTTCTGCAGGTTTTGAATGGAATTTTATGTTCCTTAGTGAGTGTTTCAGTGTGTCTCTTAAGTGTTAAGTTATTTGAATAGCGCTATAAAAGTGTTGAGTAATTGAGTGTTTGTCCTTCGGGTCTGTGAACGCATCCGCATAAGCTGTTAATTTTAATTTGTTTGTGTTATAGTGTGGAGAGTTTGGTCACTTAAGGACCTTTTGCTCTAGCTCAAAGTCCGCCGATTCAGCGAGAAGCACTTCTCGTCGGGAATGACTGGCTATTGGTCAGTGTCGGATGATGATCATCATTTGCAGGTTGGTTATGACTTTCCTTGTTTTTTTTTTTTTGGAAATTTTGACGAGTTCAATATTCGGAACAACAGCTGAGGTGTGAAAGGCCGTTTCAATTCTGCCATGGGTTTTTGGAAAACCACTTTAAATGCTCCAGAGTTTGTTTTAGATGGTATTCGGTGTGGGTTCAGACTCCCTTTTGCGGAGTATCCGCCCCCGTGTTTGTTGCCCAATAACAAATCAGCCTTAGCTCATGGCTGTATCGTTGAACACAGCGTTCCTATATTCTGTGTTAACCCCTTAACAGTAGCAGTGGGTAAAAAAGCTGCGCTTAGCAATTGATTCAAGACACGTTAACAATTATCTGGTC